AGCCAGAAACAGGGGAACATAAACACAGCAGCTAGAAAGCTATGTTCATATCTGCGATTAGCCACTGTAAAACAAAATGCTTAGCTTTTTGTGCCTGCGATGTATGCATGGCAAAAGCTTCCAAACAAACCAGTCCAGTACATATTCAAAAACAGGGTACCGACATAAACGAACTAAAATAACTAAAATGTGATAAAGCATACAAGTGAGGATAGAGCAATAACTCGCCATGTTGACATATACTTGCACTCAATGCTGGCGCAAGGTACAAGGGCCAACATGTTTCTGCTAAGTTCATCCCTCCTGCTCTCTGTTTTAGTCCCTTCATCCCCGTCCTCATGCTTGTCCTCCCATTATCCTCATGTTCATCATCCTCATCATTGTATATCATATTGGTTGACTCCTCCTAGTCGTCGTCGTGGTGATAATCATCATCTGACCCATGATTGAAGATGAAATAATGTATCATCTCTGTCATCACGTCGTTCTCGTCGCCGTCCTCTTCATCCTCCTCCTCCTCCTCCTCGTCCTCGTCCTCCTCCTCCTCCTCTTTCTTCTCCTCCTCGTCCTCGTCATAATCTTCATCATCTTCTTCATCTTCATCATCTTTATCATTGATCATTGTTCTCATATTATCTCTATCTCTTTGTCTATCATCAACACATGTCCAAGCAAATCAGCAACGTGGGCATTGAGATCTGAGGCCAGTCCAATGCCAGGATGTTTCATGAACCACCTGGGCCAGGCGCCGTGATATCCAACGGGTAGAGAACCGGCTTACTTTTGAACCATTTTGATGAGGTACATTAATCATAGATAATTAGTATGTTTATGTATGTCTCAAGTTATCGATGTAAGCAATGAGCTTTTCTACCTGTTTTCATCAAAAGTGTGTACACTTAAATAATGTCGATAGTGTGCAGCAAAAAAAAAGTACAGGTGGTTCAGGGTGTTCTAACAGCATTTCTTTGCTGTTTGTGTCTACTTCAGAAAAAAGCCTCGCTTTTGTTCCATCCGTCCGTTGGGCTTGCTACAGGGGGTCGAGATCAAGGAGAACAGCGTTGCAACCCAGCTGGGTTTCCAGGAGCATCGGCTTTGCGAGGCGCAACTGCGCGGCGCTTAAGCGGCGCTGGGGCTTAAACCATCCTGGATGTACCTACCATGTCTGGTTGGTGGTTTGGAACATTTGGATACATTTGGATGATTTTCCCCAATAGTTGGGATGATGATCATATGATCCAATCTGATTTGACTATATAATATTTTTCAGAGGGGTAGGTCAACCACCAACCAGATGTGTGTGTGTAATTTTAAATCATCCCAAATGGGGGTATACCCAATAAGAATCCTCTGGTGGGGATGGTTCATGATGGTTCAATATATGTTACTGGTGTATCAACTGAATACGGTAGTAAAGCATCAACTGGCAGACAATATGGGGACAGGTCAATAGCTCTATTGCTACCATCTGAATGAGGAGGCGAACATACATAAACACTGACTATTTTGGTGTGAACCGCAGGTATCAGGGTTTTGGCTATGGTTTTGATCCATAGCCCATAGCAATCATTGATTTGGGGGATATCACCAAGGAATGGCCAAAGTGATTTACTAAACGCTGGCCACGTGAAAATCTACAGGTACTCATGTCATCAAGATGGGGATGCACAGCAATACGCAGAGAGTGGACTCCATATGGAGGGCATTCGAGAAACATGGACATTCATGATGTTCAAGGCATGAAAGGGTTAGATGATGTTAGATGAATGCAATTGATGGCGATATTTATCCAGAACATGATGAGTCAATGAGAGAAAGGTGGAAGAACTTTCAATTCGGAAATAGCCCCGAAGATGTGGGTTGGTGTGGTGAACAGCGTTGACTTCTTGTGGCATTCCACCGTCTGCTGTGTACAGACTCAATCCTGATGTGTGCCTGGGAAAAATCTGTTCTGGACCTTACAAAAATGATCCATTTTGGCTCTCAGGTTGAACATGAACCCACAGTGGTACCGAAATCTGAGAACCCAAAGTTGGCAGATCTAGTTGGGAGCATCAGTACAGGATGCAGATTCTCTACTGATTTATATGGATTTCTTTGGCTACAGTGATACTTACTGGACCAGCTGAGTGACGCGACACGGATTTCTTTCCGGCCTTCTTTGCGCGTCCGCTTCATCGGTTTCAGCAAGCTGCAATGTGAAGCCATGAAATTTGCGAAACAAAGGGGAACATGATGATCAACCCTTGAACAATTTGGAAGTCAAAAAAGAGAGAAAGCTAACTACTAATCCAGATCAATCCTGCCAAGTGGCGCAAACTCTTGCTGTTTTTGCGTTCAGGTGCTTCAGAAAGACTCCATGTATGACCTGAGTCGGAACGCCCCAGGGGTTTGGGCCTTGTGTCGCAATAACAAGTCATAGAAAAGTGGGAAACCTGAAATATGAATTAAACATAGGTAAACATCATTTATACCCTGGAAACGCCACTGTTATGTTTAATAATGTTTAATAATGTTTAATATATTTTCTGGGGGTGCTATCCTCTTACTGAACTGGCCAACTTCGCCGGGAGATCCAGGCAATACCTTCAAAGTCCTGGTCATTGACAAGCCTTTGATCGGCAGGCCTTGGCCGCGTTGGGATTGGAAGACACAGTGAGAGGCCACAAGAGATGCGTAAAAGCTTCCACGTTGGTCCATGACTTCATAAGGTAGTCATGTCACATGATACACATATGATCACATATGTCACATATGACTACATATGTATATTAGTCAATATATATATATATAATTATATAATATATATATATAACATATGATCATGTGTATATTATTAATATTAGTATATTTAATGTTATTTGCATGGAACTCGTTGGTACCCCCAGGTTCAAGCCTTTGTCCGCAGCTGTGGGGAGCCTCGGGGCTGAGTGGCGGAAGAGCCATGGCATCCCATGTAGATGTGGAAAACCCATGGGTTTCCGTCGGAAAATGATATACATGGTGGGTTTTCCACATCTATGTTAGTCAATATTTCTATAGCAACTCCACGTTTTTTGATCGAAAAAGGTTCAATTTATCACAAGTTTTGGTGGGATTGGATTTGGTGGGACGGAATTTTGATTTTCTATCTTTTTTACGGTTGCTATGCTGAATGTTTATCACCATTCTATTTTACTATTTTCATTTATTGTCCATGTTTCGTGAATGGTGATATATGGAATAATCGGAGACCATGTAATAAAATGGAGATAGCATGGGTATAAATAAGTCGGCAGAAAAGGGAAAAGATTGGGAAAGTATGGGAAGGTGATCAGTGATGTAATGGGGCTATACACGGATATACAATTATACAGTTATTCAGTTTTAATCAGGGTATAGTTGGATAGTAATAGAATATCTAACCAACAACATGAAGGTGATGACTCAAAATGAGATAATTGACCCCCAAATCATTGCAATTTTGATAAAATGATGATACCGAATGATAGCCAGGATTTTTGGGGTCCATATTTCCAGAAACACCCATATCAATGATGAATTCCTGGAATTGCACCACTGATGGCATCGCAAATCCCTGCATTTTTCCAAAGTGGATGGTCGATTCCTAGAACTTAGCCATTTTTTGTCGGTCCTTTGGCATCCTTTTTGACCTATCCCCTGATGGACCTAGCTGAGCTTGCTGATACTTTCCTGGGGTTATAAGTACCAGCAGCTACCTGTATTCTCACTGGGCTGACATTTGATTTGGGGGGTTCACCAGTTCAGCCGAAATGATGCTGAATTTTGTGGAACGTGAAAATCTTCATGAGTCTACTGTCAATTCCTAAGTTGTCCTGATACCCTCTGGTAAACTGTTACATTACTATGGAAAATCACCATGTTTAATGGGAAATGTCACTATTTCTATGGCCATGTTCAATAGTTATGTAAATAGTGAATTTTCCCATTAAACATGGAAAATTTGGCCATTTACTAGTCATGTTCTATTGATTCAATAGTTATGTAAACGTTTACCAGAGGCTAAGTGGTGTTCTTTTTTTTTAAAGGGCTGCCCCAAAGTCGACCAGAAAAAACGGAAACTTCCCCATTTTGGAGAGGACAAAAATCAGGTGTATATGACCATTTGTCGAAAATAGTTGTTTAGAAGTTTAGTATTGGTTGTTGATAATTCATCTGGGTCTACTGTTTTTTCCTCTTCATATTATGATATATATCTGGCTGGTGGTTTCAAACATGTTCTATTTTTCCATAATAAAAAAGGGATAATCCTTCCCATTGACGAACTCATATTTTCCAGATGGTTAAAACCACCGACCAGATATACACATAATAATATGAATATTATTACTACTAATACATAACTAATGATATATGCGCATTTTTGTTCACAGTTCTATACTATACTATACTAATACTATACGATGCGATGCGATACTATACTATACTATACTATACATATATATATATATAGAGATGTATACAACGGAAACCTCCATGGCTGCCGAGTTTCTTACCTCATCTTCCCAAAAAAAACTGATGCACCTTGAGAAGACCTGGAAGAGGTGTCGTTCCACCAGGCATTGAACAAATATGGGGGTTTCCATAAATGGTGGTGGCCCCAAATGGATGGTTTATATAGGAAAATCCATCTAGAAATGGATGATTTGGGGGTACCTCCATTTTGGGAAACTTCCATATAAATAATTATGTATATATATATATATAAATCTGGGTAATTATCACGACCTCACTGTTCTCCCGCACTGGAATAATGGTTGATAAGGGGTAAGTGTCCCAAAATAGCCAAAAAAAAATCAGGTCAGTGAAATAGTGCAATTTACCCAGATAAGTATGTTTGTGAAAAGAAGTTCTCATTCTCACGGAGGATATGTGAGATATTTTCCAACCGATTGACGCACATTGTGTTTTTCTTACATATTATATACCCATATATACCCCTAAGGGGGCGATTATTTGACCCCTGAATTGGAGGGCACCTAGAAGATCTAGAAAATCATGAGGATATTCTAGCCGATTCTTGCCGCAACCATGTTTGATTCTCAGAGGATACGTCCCACTTTTCCACTTCCTTTTCCTGAAATTCAGTGGTTTTCCGTGTTTTTTTTTCCTTCCCTGCTTCTGATGCTGCTTCCCTGCCATATTTACCCTCTGGTAATTTAACATAGCTATTGAAAATGGCCCAGTCGAAATACTTGATTTTCCCATGAAAAATTGCCATGTCTGCCCATGTTCAATAGTTATGTAATAGTTTACCAGAGGGTATCCACATATATATGGTACAGGATGGCCCCCCCAGTTAAAAATTGGTTTATAAATCATTCTAATCCCCATTAACTATAGTTATATCTACCATAAACCATAGAATTCAGCCACTTATAAACCAATTTAGCTATCGAACGGGGGCCCCATCCTGTACATAAGTTATATATTGTCATATGTTTTGGGTGAAATCACAAGGTGCCTGAGCCTGGGAGCGCGGGCAACTTGGTCCGGACCCCCTGGCTATGCTCGAAAAAACAACCCATGCTGGGATGCCCATGGATAATTCGCCCATGGATGGGGAAAATTCCATGGTTTTTCAGGAGAAAATCAATGGATTGGTTTAAGTTTGTTGGGGAAAATCTTAACAACCATGGATTTTCCCATGTTTTGATCATGGGGTCTCCTGTATTTTTTCCCGAAAAAAACAATCCATTGAGAAAATGATGATGAACGAGCGAAAAAAATGCCGTAAGATCATCCATGTTTTCCACGTTTCTGGCACGGCAATTTCTCTGGTACGGCAGGTACCGCAGCCTCGCAGTGCCGTCATCCATGCGGAGTAGACCGAAAGTAAGATGGGGATTGATCAAACCTATATGCTGGGTCAACCTTTGTTAGATACTAGCTAGATCTAGCTAGTACTATCTGTTGCTATCAATAGTAAAATGTAGATTCACCAGCTAAAGAATCTGGTTGGTGGTTTGGAACAGTTTTTATTTTTCCACATATTGGGAATAATCATCCCAACTGACGAACTCATATTTTTCAGAGGGGTTGAAACATGTAGGTATACCACCAATTTAGGAATAGTCTTTTTGGCAAGTGTCTAAGATTCACCATGTATCTGCCATGGTCAAAGTTTGGGATTACCCATCTTGGATGGTCATCCAATGTCATCCCATAGGCCCATAGGGCTTTGTTGGCGATTCTCGTTCTCTTTTATGGATGATCATTAAAAAAAACATAACTCAATAGAAACCATCCATATACCATGTCTTGACCCTGCCCTAGAACATCCCCTTGGAAGCTGGATGTTGGCGGACCAGGGTTAGAACCTATGGCCAGATCTTTTTTTCCAGCTGCAGTGGTCAGGCTGCTGCATATGCAGAACTACGGCTAAATTCATCATACCTTACCCAGTCCGGGGTGATTTTCAGATTATATACCCTCTGGTAAACTAACATAGCTATTGAAAATGGCCATTTATAGTGGATTTACCCATTAAACATGGTGATTTTCCATAGTTATGTAACAGTTTACCAGAGGGTAAATGTGGGTCAATTTTCAGATCTGTGGATCAAAAAATCCGAGGTAGCTTCACCCTGCTTTTCCAATGAAAAAAATGTGGCTGTTATGGCATTTCATCCCCAAAAATTCATTTCCAAAGGCAGAGGTTTTGATCATGTTTCATCCATTGCCATTTCTTTTCTCAGCTCCACTCCTGTTTTTTTCAGACCTAGTGATTTACCTTCCGGTAAACTAACATAGCTATTGAAAATGGTGATTTATGCTTACCTAAGTATCAAACATGGAAATTTCCCATAGCTATATTAGCTTACTGAAGGGTAATCACTTCAATTAGACCATTTTGGTGTTGAAACCCATGGTGACTTGGGGACAACTTGGGGCTCCCATTTCAGGAAACCTCCAAATCACTTCAATGTCCTGTTTTGTTGCTGAATTTCTCCATTTTTTGAAACAGCCCAGGACGATTTGCTTTTGCATTCTCCAAGCATCCAAGGAGAATCTTTCGATGAGGCCTGGGATTCATTTTTTTTCGGGAAGGGAAAGTCCCAATTTTGGGGGTTGGAAAATCGGGAATTTTATGGACAATATCTGAAAAAAATGAAAATATAGACGGAAAAAAATTAGGAACATTAATTGTCATACCAAAAATTATGGAACATATATGAAAAGTATTTGCCCCTTAATGTCGTGGCTGTTGAAAATCGGTAGAACACACCCTTTTTTTGACACTGCCATGTGGAGATTGGTTTAGATGTGTTTGGCATGCCATATATCGTGTATATCGTAAATATGTGTATGTGGATAGATATGCTATACTCGTATACAACTGGACACATCACTTGTAGCTGTACAAGCATCGGGTTCATTTGGGGTACTGTACCGTAATTTTGAGCAGTCGCTACGGCAATTCTACCTGATGGACATCCATAGATTGGATGTGCATCACATAGATCTATGGGGAGACCATGTTATTTGCCGGTGAACATATGAGAGCTGGTCCCCCACGCCCCACAGTGGCTGGATCCACAGCACAGGAGGAGCCTTGACCATCCCCTTTCATAAACGGGTAGAAAAGTACATCATAGAAGTACAAAACAAGATTTTGAAGATGGTTTCGATGGCATAATCATAGTTTTCACGGCTTTGCCAGACTAGCTTTACGTTGGGTGTTGGTATGTGCAGGACTATATATATATATATAGGGTACCCTATGGTGCCCTAAAATCCACTGGTTCGTCGTCATTTTCCCCTGGCCAGAAATGTTTCTTGACCTTGTAAGTTCTTTTGGAGCCTCTGATGGTCTGCGGTTCCTATTGGACACAAATTGGTGTGAACTGGAACATAAAACATCATAAAACCAAGGTTTTTCACCCGAGTTATGAATGGTAGAATCCCATTGATGTACTTGTCCTCATATACATGATAGTTTGGAATGGGGTCGATCATCCCAGACCTGGTCATCTGAAGTCCCAAAAATCTCACTGGTGCGGAATGGAATGGGATGATTGCATACGACACGTAGATATTGTTCATACTTATGTCACAATCAGATTCCCAATATTTTTTTCACACACACCATTCTCAATTTTTGGTGATAATTCACCATCAATAGTGGGATGATTGTGCCATAAATCATGGGATGATCTGCTCATTCCGTCCCTACAAAGGCGGAAACCCGAAACATGTCCAGGTGGATCGGTTTCGCAAGACCTTCGTACAGGTGAGGCAGATGGAATGGTTTTTCTTTGAAGGTCAAGGAAAACAGGGGAAAAACATGGAAAAGGTTGATGGTTTTCTATGATTTTCTATGATTTTCTGTGGTTTTCTTGGTGATTCAGCCAGATCTATGACCAAATGATCCAGCTTCGAACATGGGTTTCATTCAATTTGGAGCTCTGGATCATCACTCAGGCGCTTCATTGGGTCCCGACTTTTTGGGTCAAGCAACTGGTTAGATTCGGTTAGATTCGGTTAGATTCGGTTATATACTACATGATAATATGATACTACCCTCTTGGTACTACTTTGTTACGTTAATTCTTATGGCAAAATTTAAGAGAAAATTCGAGAGCTCAAAATTTTGATCCATTGTTGGATCTCTCATTGTTGGATCTGTTGAATTTTTTGGGTATCTAAGATTCACCATGAGAACCAACACTTCTTCCGTTTGGTGCAATTCTGTAGGTTCCTGGATGTGAGAATCGCACCGCCGAAAGGACAGGCGTAGATTTGGGGGGGTTCCATAGTCATGGGGCTACCCCAAAAGCTGGATGTTTTTAAGGGGAAATCCCATCTATAAATGGATGATGATTAGGGGTTCACCATGGTACACCCATTTATGGAAACCCCCATTTGGCCTGGAACATCCTTGAGTTTACCACAGTAGCTGACATTCGGGTGAAAGAATTCTCATGCGACTGGTCGTTTGCCTCCGAACTTGGTTGTGGTTCGGACCCCAATTTAATCAATTGATAAGCTGGTAGCGAAAAACTCAGGCTACTGAACCCTCAAAATATCTACCACATCAAATTGGAAGCCAAGAAAGAAGCTCTGGGAAATCGATGCTTTTAAGACCTTTCGATGAAGGGTATCTTCTTCAGAAGGATTCCTTCTCACAGTATTTTCGGTGGCGTTTCGGGTCTTCACAAGCCACAAATGGATGTCTCTAAAAACAGGGTATACCCCAAAATAGCAATTTTAGTAGGGAACATGTGGGAAAGACATGTTTTAAAGCACTGGATCGAATCGGGTGCGTACTTGTTTTCCGACAAACCCACATGGCAGTCATTTTGAGCATCAAGTTGTTTGGCAACTTCCAGGCTGGAAATGACTGTTCTTTTCTATGTGGGAAGGGATTAAATCATTTGGTGCAATAATGGCAGGGTTTACAGTCCAGCAGTTGTTCCCAAAGTGTGAAGGATTTGTCTCATCCATTCCCATACTGCGGATGGTTGTTTGAAATCACCACTTGGAAGATGAGCAAAATCAGTCGAAATGTCATGGAAAAACCAAAAACCATCCCATATGATTTGCATTGATTTAGCGTGTTTCCAATCGTTTCATGGGAAATTCCTGTCCACATCTGTCCACCAGCCGGAGGATTCGCGAAATTGTGACTGAAGCTGTGGACAAGCTCAGCAGGTTCGATCTTCGATCCAGGGTCGCATGGTTGTGGAGCCTCAGGGTATCTTAACCCTCGACCTGTCATGTGGGTAAAACAATGCCATAAACTACCCATGCCTGGGAATTCTGAAAATACCACCATATACCACCTATTTATGGTGATTTGGGGGATGGTTGATTATTGTGTTAGCCACATTATTGGTAAAAGTATCTAAAGATATCAAAGACAAACCATCTGATGGTTAGGAGCGATCCGGAACTATGGCTATCCATATTCCATGATATTCCAATATGATGATTCACCCTTATTCCTATATGATGATTCACTCTTAACTCAGGAGCCAGTTGGAGCTACGAGTTTCCCAACCAGATGATAGCACATTTCCATACATTTCCCAGCATTTCCCCATGGTTTTATCAGGTTTTTCTGGGTATGATTTTCATAATTCACTAACCTGAAATAAGATAAGTAAGGCTATTCTTAGGGGATGATTCCCCTTATGATTCACCCAGATGTTTGTAAATTGTTCGAAAAAATCAGAGAAAAAATCTCTATGGCCATCTCTAGGGAGCCCGATTTTAATGAGAGATGGGAAAGTTCACCTTGGGCTCAATTTTGGGTTGGGTTGTTGGTGTACAAATACATACATGTGTGTATAAATATATATATATATATATACATACATGTGTGTGTACATATACATACAATCATACGTGTATATACGTATATATATAATGTATAGCTCTTTATATACACACACTGCATATATATTACCCCCTATTTTTACGTATTATATTATACAATAATCATATAATACAAGACAAGACGATATCATTTAACAAAATATAAGACATCGTGTAATGGGCCCCGTAGCTCCTGATGAAATCCAACTTCCAAGTGCCGTGATGTTTCAAGAGGAATTGGCTACAGAATTCTTCAAATGTGTCTGAAAATGAGGTATGTATACACCAACAATGGCTATTTTAATAGGGGAAACAATGATGAGAAAAACCAATGGATTTTAGGGATTCCCTATTTTCAGACACACCCAAATGGCTGGAAATGTTCTTCCAAAGATGTCATGATTTGATTTTCCTTAGCTCATGCTTTCCGGTTGTGCAACGATTCTTGCTCTTTGGAGGATTTCTATGGCCTTCCCCTGATCTTTGGGAAACCAACGATCTGTGCTAACTAGCAAAAATGAATGAACCCAAAGATGTCAATTCTAGTTTCAGGCTTGAATGACCCTATGGAAATCCAATGAACATACTGTGGAAACCCTATAAATCATGGTATAAAGCACGTATCAACTGGTGCAGGATTTCTTCCATCCCCAGTATGGCCGATGGCCCATCTGGCCAGGCAACATAAAGTGACTTCTGCCTCTCAAGTGGCGCAGCTGGAATTCAAAGTCGGAGAGCTCGGGATGTGGAACATTGGTGACATTCGGTTTCAGATCCAGAAAGTCATCAACTTTGGGTGAATCAATCCAGGCTTTCAAGATGTTTCAAGATGTTCCAAGATTTGATTCTGTTTGGGCCTTCTGTTTTGATACCATTGGACGAAGTGGCAAGCCTCCACCGGAAAAAGGTTGTCGACCCCATTGAAGGTGCAATGCTGCAGACTTTGACATTTCACTGGTGTGAGTTTAAGATAGGTTCACTTCATATTCTCTAGAATTTGGTGACTTTTTTTTGTAATGTCCCCATTGGTAAATCCACAATTTGGAGGGAATATACTGGGAATCGTTTCTATTTTTCATGGTCCCCTTATATAATCCCAGAAATGGTTCAAGGGGAAAAACAACAGGAAAACCCTCCATATTTCATGGCAACAACCATACTTGGTGGCTCATCCCACGAATCGTAAGTGGGTTATATCCCAGTTCTGTTCGTGGGATAAGTAGGGTCAATCCGCTTATAACTGGGATATCACCTCACCCACTTACGATTCGTGGGATGGGGCACCAAGTAGAGAAAAGTATGGTTCAGCAACATTAGTACATTACTAACATTACGCACAGACCCCGTGGTTTGCCTCCCTGTCGTCGAACATGAGAAGAGAAATTGCAGAAAAAACTGCGTATACGCAGTGTTTTCTGCTGTCGGATTCAGAGTTTTCAGGGTTTTATAGGGTTTTAGGGTTTAGGGTTTTAGGGTTTAGGGTTCGTCGTCTCGTAAATGCCAAAACACTGGCCCTGCGCAGGTTTTTGAGCATGTCGAAGGAGAATATTTGAACTCCATTCTAACCTTGGGGGCAAACCATAGGGTCTTGCCGTAACATTAGGTTTACATGGTTTACCCACAAAACCATGGTTTAGTAACATTAGTAACCTTGGCAAACCCTCCATATTTCATGGTAACAACCATAGTTTCCTGTGGATTTTCTAATTTTCCCTTAGCAAATCGAAGTTCCACAGATCCTCCAGATTTTTCGAGCGACCCAGGTGAGTCGGCAAGCATACACTGCGCCTCTCGGTGTTTGGGTCTTTTTGATAACTGGCCCATGGTGGGGTGAGTCACTGGCGCCCAATATAACATAGCTATAATAATATAAAATATACATATATATATATATATATACACAGTGTATGTGTATATATATATATGTATACATATATACACATTATACGTTTACATATTTTATATACTTGTATGTTATATATATATACATGTATATTTTAGGTGTATCTATTACATATTCTATTAGATATAGTATGATAGTTGCAAACACCATAGAACTAGGTACTGTAGGCGCTTCTTCCAATTTGTTCATCCCCAGCAGCCTCCAGCTAACCTTCAAGCAACTCAGCAAGTGATACGGTGGATGGGCCAGCGAAATCACCAGTTGAAAACAGTGCTAAACATCCCATGATTTATAGGGTTTCAACCATACAAGGTGGTGCAGGATTCCGCAACCATCCACAGTATATCTATATAGCATGTGACGTAAGCGAGGTGTGTAAGTGGGATGTGATATTTTTAAAAAAAAATATGCAGGAAAGATGCTTAAGTGATTTGTTTGTACGCAATGTCTGGTTCGAATAGATATGAAAGGTATATGTGCATGCATATGTAAGTGAGATCTGTGAGTGCGATCTGTGATCGAAGCATTATTTGATGTGAGTAGGATCAGTACATGAAATACGTGAGACGAGATATGTAAAAGTTCACTGCTATGTTGGTCGTAAGTTTTCATGATGTGTGAAATTGTGAAGTTTCTTGACAACTGGGTCCGAAAAAACAACGAAGCTTTCTGAGTCGTCAACTTCCATTGAGAACGCTTTCGATGGATCGGCGGCCGGGTTGATTCATCCAAAAGATCAGGGGTATTTTTTGCAGGATGTCAACGAATTATAGGTTTCTTTGGTCAACCAGATTTGGGTTTATCATGCTTTATCTGAATAAAAAATGGGGAACTCCCCTTAAAAATTTGATGGTAAATCATCATTTTCTGAAAATGGCAATCGGATTTCGTCCATGACAAAACCCATGGGATCGGTTCATGAACCGGTTCATTTCTGAGTGGTTCGACTTGACATTCAGCATATTCAGCCTAGGCTCTACTCCTTCATTTTCCCTCATCTTCAAAGTTTGCTAACAGAGAAGGAGGATGGCCCGATGGCTCCCCTGAGACCCCTGAGATCTGGATCCGATGGGTCATAGTTTCAAGAGGGGAAAAAAACATCAAGGTGGCGTTGAAGTATCTGGATGATTTGGAGATTTGTTTGGGATATATGGCTATGATACATTTGGATAATGATAATAAGTTAATATGGGATTTCAAACAAATCTTCAGATAATGATTTGGAGATGTTTGGGATGGTCAAAGTTGAAGATACATTCGACCGAAAGTAGCGTTGGCGATGTTTTATGATTCTTGGACGCAGAAATCCAGCGCCAGGCACGTTCCAAGAAGTCATGACCCAACTGCAGTTTGGTGTTTTTCAACCTTGGTGTCATAGATACAGGTAGATACGATGGTCCAGTTCTAGATGTTCAAACTGTCACGCCAACATTGATAATATGAAACTTATTGTATAGCACTATATAGTGTTTATAGATATTATATATATATAGTAATATATATATATAATATATATATATGTAGATTATAGCTCATGATATACACATACAATCATATATGGAGGTTTCCTAAAATGGTGCTATCCCTCATAAAAATCCATTTTTGGGCGGGATGTTCCATGAACCATCCGGTCCATCGAACTTGGGGTACCCCCACGCCTGAGGCAACCCCCATATATCGACCTCACTATAATCATAGTAAGGATTCGGCGAATCATCCCCACGATAGCTTTATTTCTGGTTAGTGAATCATTGTAATTTACCCATGTATATATATATACACACACATATAATACATAATACATATATATATATATATGCATTTACATATATATATTATTATATATGTAATTACCTGGTGACTGGTGGTCTTGAAAGTTTCAATGTCTCCCAATTGCAGCTGGCCAGGACCAGCTGCAAAGATCAGTGAGGAGGGGCCCGAGGGGCCGCGTTGGTGGACATGACCCTGAAAATCATTGAAAATCTCCAGGAGTACAGAAAAAACTACCCTCTGGTTATGTCAAAATAGCTATTGAAAATGGCCATAGAAATAGTGAGTTTTCCCATTGAAAATGGTGATTTCCCATAGTTACGTTAGTTTACCAGAGGGTATGATCAGAAAAGTCTGGTTAGAAAAGTATATGGTGTTTTTTGTATCATGAGACTAACATTAGGTTTACATGGCTTACCCACAATCCACCATGGTAAAGGTAACATGAGGTGCTGCCATTGCAGCCTTGCAGCAGGGGTGCTGGAGAAGTGCGCTTTAAGGGATGTCGGCCGAATGGCTGACGAGAGTTGTGTCCAAGCCTTGAAAGTGTAAGATGAAAAGCACGGTAAAAACCCTAAACACCCTACCCTCTGGTAATTTGTTACAGTTCTCTATTGAAAATGGCCCATTTATATTGGATTTACCCATTGAAAATGGTGATTTTCCACAGTTATGTTAGTTTACCAGAGGGTAAATGAAACCCTACATAAACCCTAAACAATCCCAAAAGAGTTGGTGGCATGATAAACCTCTGGGCAGCCCGGGGGTGACATTGGCAACATTAGTAACGTGTGGTTTGGTAGCATTAGCAGCGGGTTCTCTCCTGTCATATCTGTAAACAACTAACATAGATGCGGAACAACCAACCATGTGTAGACTATCTTTAAAGCAAAAAACGTATGGTCAACCACTACAGTTTAGTTTAGAATTAACAAAATCAAAACTGAAATGGATTTTTCACGTACTTAGGATCAACATGAATAAACTCATAGTTTGGTAAAATCCATGTACCTAGACTGAACCATGGCTACAAGATAGTTGCTTAAAACAAATGGTTCTTCAGTTTGAAAGAAAGCCCTTGGTGGATTGCTTTTTGTTTGGAGCTAGAGGAGCATGTTCTCCAGTGGCCTGTCCATGGTTTTTTATCAAAGCACCAGGTTTTGATACGTTTTGTCATTATAACCTGGTGCTTAGATCATGTTAGATCATATAACATGTTAGATCATCGTATATATAGTTAATGGTTGGTTTATTAATGACAACATATAACAACCATTCATTCGTGTTAGATCATGTTAGATCATGTTAGTTCTCCCTTTTCATTCTTTCTCCATGCTCAGAAACCAGCATTCTGAGCTTGCGATTCTCAGCAGGTCCTATGCGTCCCCAGATGACCTGTTGAAGGTTGAACGGTGGGAAGCCGCAAAAAAGATGGAAAAGTGAAAAACCTGGAAATATCCATGGGGAAAATACTTGAAGGTTGCTAACTTTTTATGGAAAAAGTGAGTATGGAAATATCCTTGGGAAATACTGTATGGATGTATGGAATAATTGGGGAGAATGGGCATAGAATGGGGATAAAGTCTGAAGAATGGGGGAAAGATTGGAACGTATTGGAATGTGATAAGTGAATGGGGATTCAATGAAGGTATACATCTAAGAAATATGATGTAGACGGGTGTGTCTGCAAATGGTGCATAGTATGGAAACCCTAGCGGGAAAATGATGGAATGGGGCACCCAATTTTAAATCAAACCCAAGTATCTTCTGAAGCATGTGATTAGGATGGGGAACCCCATTCTTGCCACATATTCATGGCGGTTCAAAGGGCTTCAACCAACCCCCAATTTTGGTTGTTGGTGATGAATGAGCCATGTTTTATCTTTATGCAGAGTTTTCATGATGTTGATATCTACAAGTACCGTTATTGTGAAGGGTCACTTTGCGGTACCATGGCCATTTCATTACGTGCTCATTGGCTTTGTTTTTGGAAGTTGCCACCCAGGGTATCTCACTCTATGAATGTTTCGCTTGATCAATATGAATAAATTATATATATATATAGAATTATATATACATAGTTGTATATATAATACAATACAATATATATAATATAATATAGTATATATATATATATTAAAATATATATGATATAATATATATATATATAATAATATATATATATAATATGATATATAATATAATATAATATAATATATTTAATATAATACAATATATATAATATATAATATAGACAATACAATATATATATATAATAATATAATATAATATAATATATAATATAATATAATATATCATATAATATAATATATAATATAATATAATATAATACAATAAAATAATATAATATATAGTATAATATAATATAATATAATATATAATATGATATAATATATTATAATATATATATTATAATATAATATAATATAATATAGTATAATATAATATAATATATATTAAAATATTATATATAATATTTATAATATAATATAATATATATAATATCATATATAATATACAAATATATATATATATATAATACATATATATAATATTTATAATATAATATATATAATATCATATATAATATACAATATATTTTTAATAGAGTGGACTATGGTAAACGGCGTTGTGGTCGTCCCAAGCAAAACTGGCTGTGGAAGTAATTACTTGGAATCTGTAGAACATGATTTCCGAATCTAGAATGTAGCCTTAAACCGAGAATTTTAATGTTTCTCCGTGGTTCCTTGGCTACGTCAACGCCTTGCTTCTTTTGAAGATGCTTCATTGCAAGGTATGGCTGGGAAAAAAAAATAGATATATTTGATGTATAATATATTATATATCTAAAATATTTATTATATTTATAATATATTATATTATACATACACAGTCCCCTTCATGCATGAAAATTTTGATTGTAGGTTGCTGGGCATGGGGAACTCAAAAGACCTGTTTGGTAGGCAACAGGTTGGCGGATTTTGTATTTTGGATACTATGGCGGCAGGTACCCTCTGGTCAACGTTTACACAACTATGGAAAATCTCCATTTTTTATGGGTAAATCCACTATAAATGGCCATGTTCAATAGTTTTTTGTATGTTTACCATGTCGGGTACATGTTCCATCAATGGATTGGTTGAAGGGAAAAATCTTCAACCGGAAAGCCCCATGATCTCGGAAAAGCCATGGCTTCCATAGCTAAATAACATTAAATAACTAGAGGGGAATGTGGGAAGCCCAATAAAGCTACCATTTGGGGATAGTTTATACCACCCATTTATGGTGATTTACAAATGACGTGGGTATTGTTTATTCTTGGGTCCACATTAATAGTTAAATCTCTTGCCATCTCTTGCAGGTGGTTCCAGCTCAAGGTTGGGTAAGATTGGCCAGATGTCCGGAATTTTCAAAAAGGCTTTCCGATTTCCTGAATCCCTAGAGAAAAAAAAGGTGAACTACAAAAGCGAATGTCAAATGGTTTTGTCACCATTAAAAATAGAAAGTCATGTTTTAACCAAGTTAACCACAAAAGAAAGGCAAGAAAACATGTTTTAAAACAACAATTAAAACTATGTTTTTGTCCATAAGTTTAACCAACAAAAGTTTGGACCTGAAAAGCGACGCCACTGCGCCAGGCGGTTCCTGGGGGTGAACGACTCTGTTTCGTAGCGGGGAGCACTCAGCTTGCAGAGTCGTGGTTGGAAGGATGTCTTTCGCGAAAATGTTCCAATTCTCGGTGTGCTTGGGGGTCCAGTTCCACTTAGATATCTAACCATGTATACTTATCACAAATGGAGAAATGCTTAAGATTCCGCAAACAAACGTTGTTTCATTTTGTCTGGTTGAAGGGGTATCTAAGGTTGGCTGTGGTGAAATATCCTGTTTAGTTTGCCCCATGTTTGCTGCTGGGCTGAAGGCTGGTTAGGCCTCCTGAAGGTTCATGGTTCATGGTCAGCTTTTGACCGACTCACAATTTTGGCGTTTGATGTTATAGAACGGAATCCCGAATGATCTTGTATTTTTTGGTCAGTCTCAGTCCGTTTTCTTTTTTTTTCCCCCACAAAACTTACCAGCCAGCAGTAGAGATTTTCCCACCCAAGGCGACTCCAGTTCCGATCTCAGGATGTCACAGAGTCAGCGGCAGAATTGGAATTGCTGGAAGGCAAGATTGCGCCCGGTGTCCAAGGCAAGTTGGAGTGCGTCGATGATAAGTTGGAGTGGTGTTTAAAAAAGTATGTCTTAAGTCTCATCTCCATGTTTACACAATATGATGTAGTACACAGATCATACTGTATATCATCTATAATATCTATAAGTATATAAGTATATAGGTATATAGGTATATAAGTATACAAGTATATAGGTATATAGGTACATAAGTATATAAGTATACAAGTATTTTTAAAATATATATATATAATTATATAAGTTTATAAGCATATAAGTGTATAAATATATAAAGATATAGGTATATAAGTATAAGTATATAAGTATATAAGTGTATAAGTATATATAAGTATATATAAGTATATATAAGTATATATAAGTATATATAAGTATATATAAGTATATATAAGTATATATAAATATATATAAGTATATATAAGTATATATAAGTATATATAAGTATATATAAGTATATATAAGTATATATAAGTATATATAAGTATATATATATACAGTAAGTATAAGTATATATATATAAGTATATATAAGTATATATATAAGTATATATAAGTATATATATATAAGTATATATAAGTATATATAAGTACATATAATTATATATAAGTATATATAAGTATATATAAGTATATATAAGTATATATAAGTATATATAAGTATATATATACAGTAAGTATATATAAGTATATGAATATATATAAGTATATATAAGTATATAAATAAGTATATAGAAGTATATATAAGTATATATAAGTATATATATAAGTATATATATAAGTATATATAAGTATATATATAAGTATATATAAGTATATATATAAGTATATATAAGTATATATAAGTATATATAAGTATATATAAGTATATATATAAGTATATATAAGTATATATATAAGTATATATAAGTATATATATAAGTATATATAAGTATATATATAAGTATATATAAGTATATATATAAGTATATATAAGTATATATATAAGTATATATAAGTATATATATAAGTATATATAAGTATATATAAGTATATATAAGTATATATAAGTATATATAAGTATATATAAGTATATATGAGTATATATAAGTATATATAAGTATATATATAAGTATATATAAGCATATATAAGTATACATAAGTATATATAAGTATGTACAAGTATATATAAGTATATATAAGTATATATAAGTATATATAAGTATATATAAGTATATACAAGTATAAATAGGTATATATATATAGGTATATATAAGTATATATAAGTATATATAAGTATATATAAGTTTTTATAAGTATATATAAGTATATATAAGTATACAAGTATATATATATACATATAAGTATATGGGAATGTAAGTATATATAAAAGTATAAGAGTATATTTGGGTATATAAGAGTATATGAAAGTATATAAGAGTATATAAGAGTGTATAAGAGTATATCAGAGTATATCAGAGTATACCAGAGTATACAAGAGTATAAAAGAGCACATAAGTATATAGGTTGTAAATAATAAATATGTATATCATATAAGAAGAGTATAAGAAGTTTATAATGAGTATATAATGAGTATATAATTATAGAGGGATATACAAGTGTATAAGTAATCTTATAAGTACATAAGTAATTGTATAAGTACATAAGTAATTAGATAATTATATAAGAAATAAGTATATAAGTATAAAAGTATGTATATATATAAGTATATATGTGTTTTTTATATACAGATGAATGTATATGTTCAATCTGTCTATCTCTATGGCTGGTGATGTTTTCTTTTTAAAGATCCTATGGGAAGTTCCCAGAATCCTGGGTTGCTGAGGCCCCACGAAAAGATCGAGTGCGTGGATAAGGCACGGATCAAGCGCGGCCGGTGGCCTTGCCCGGCTGGGATGCGCCATGGTCGATAGTTTCTGGGTAAATTCTAGTGACCTCACAGCAACCTCACTGGCATGATATACTGAGTCAGCCTTAGGTCAGTGAAATCTGAAATAACCCAGATAGTTGGATTGAATCATTGCCATCGGGATTTTTTTGGGGGATGGTCATCAATCACCATGTTCATAGGGATTTACGGGCACATATGGTTCATAGTTTGCGCATGGTTTCTTAAGCTAACATGTCCTATGAACTGGTGTGGGGTACTCAATAGCAGAGGTTACATGCCATTTACAAATGACCAACGTTGCCAGATAAGTTTACCAAGGGATGCCCACAATGGCACTGTAGGTGGTTCATAATCATGGTTGGTTCACCCCCTTATGAATATTTATATTGTACAATTATGTACGCACATACATACAGTCTACATCCCCAGTCACGTCACTAACTGGAATGCAGATGAATAGGTTTAAGGGTGATAAAGTCAAATCCCCATCGCTTGGTGGTACTTACATAATTAGATGGTATAGGGGATACTTACTGGCTAAATGGGGAAGAGAAGTATCCAATATGAGGAATCAAGGTACGTGATACCCTCTCGTAAACAAACCTGGCAATACAAACTGAGTATAACACGGTTTTCCGGTGTTCATTGCCATGTTTCATTGCCAGAGGGTATACTGTAATGGGCCTGCTTGGCGCAGTTTCAAGCTATTTTTTCTATTGTTGCATGTTGTTTACATCGTGAAATCAAAAGTACGCGGCCGGTCAACCAGCAGCGAAGATGATTCGTCCCATGACCGAAGTGAAATGGTGTTGACTCAATTGCCATGGAAATCTCAGGTGGCCCGTAAAAACTTCTCCATGTTTCCATGGCCATAGATTCTATGTCTATCAGTATATATATATACGTATATATATATATATGTATATATATATATATATGTATGTATATATATATATATACGTGTATATATATATATACATATATATATATATATATCCGCCAGGTCTGAAAAAAAAACCTCTGGGTGGTTCTTTTCATGTTTATTGATATGTTTCTGACCAGATATTCAAGGATTATCCTGACTAATGTATACTAATGTGGTAAAGCCAGTAGTCCATCCTCCCTAAATGGTAGGATATTTCACGATTGAAGTTTATCGGTTTATCACACCATTTGGGATGCAATATATATAAATATACAGTATATATACTATAATCATATATCACCATCATCCCCAAATATATGATAATACTCTTCGGTAATCAAACATGGGAATTGGAAATCCTCTATAAATGGATCATCGATCTAAAGGGGTGGTTTTCAATTGCCATGTTTGATTACTAGCAGGTAAAAAAAATCAACTACGTTCTCCAAAGATAAACCTCCATTCTAGATAAATTGTCCCAGCTATAAAGCTCCATGTTTCAATGTCAATTGCCATGTTTCATGACCTGAAGGTAAACCATGAAATTTCTTGGGTTCCTGGCTTTCCTGTAGTGTTTCCTGTAGTGGTTCCCTTCCATTTCGAAGATCTTGGTCAGGCGCATGCCTTGTTGCAGAAATCCATTGCCTCGCTGGCACCAGAGAGGCGTGGTGCTTCGGCAAAGCCATGAATTTCTGTGAAGTGGTACCCTCTGGTAAACTAACGTAGCTAAGGAAAAAAACTTGTTTGATAGGTAAATCAACTAGAAATTGCCATGTAGCTATGTAACAAATTATCAGAGGGTAAATATGTTATAAATTTAAGCTTATCAACTGATAAATAGAATACATAGCTCAATTTATGGAAATCTTCATCGGGAAAGGGATGAGAACATTCATACCTTGGGCACCATGGTTCCATGGCGCCCAGTTCCTGGCTACTGTACCGGTGATTTCGAGTGGAATGTTTCTTCAAAAGCAGTGGATTGTGTTTTTTTTGTGGTCTCCACATGCAACGAGACAACCCCAGAAATCCCCAGAAATCCCCAGAATCACTGCTAAATGATGTGTCAAATCAGGATCATCGTAAGATCGCAAGGTCTCTGCTGTGGTGGATGCAGCGTATGTCAACTCTATTTGGTGGTTTCCACCGATTTCGTATAAAGTCACGCCATATGTCACGAAAAAAAGGTTGGAAAATGGTTGACATGCCATATGGCAACATATGACAACGCTATATATGCTATATTTCGTTGGCATTTCAACCAGTTTCCAACTGATTTTCATCGTAACCTGGGGCAGCAAGTTGTTCCAGGTTCAATCTCCCTCGAAGGCCACTGTTGAACGGTGCCCCACTTCTCAATGGAGTATCACCATCCAATCAAAGGTCGCAGCGGTGAGGATTTTGCCCAGAAAATACGCCGGGTCACGTCGGTTCGTTCAGGTCAAGCACACCGATGGAGATTACTGGTGATGATGTTGCTTGGTTTTGTTGATGGACTGTCACAGCTGTAGCTGATGAAAGTACATAGAATATATATATATATATATATGCATTATATATGCATAGAGAGAAAGGGAGAGACATGAACATAAAAACCTAAAACCCTAAACCAAAAATAGATGGAAACATGAACATAACTGAACATAAAATGTGTATATTGATAGGCTCAAGGCTGGAGGTTCCCCAAAGCCTCCAGCCTTGAGTCTTTCTCAGTTTCATGAGGATGCTTTTTGACCAGATCTCTTCAAAACTATTCTGCATTAATTAGATGGATGATGTTTGAGGATGTCAAAACTAGTTCCATTCTCATTCCATCTATTTGAGGATGTTCATTCTGCATTAATTAGATGGATGTTTGCCTTATTAAGCGTTTGCTTGGACATTGTTGTCGACAAGAACATTCAAGCTGCCAGCCTGCTCACACATTTCTGCCAAGGTGACAGGTGTGTGAAATATTGTGCATTGTCTTGGTAAAATGTGTTTTGTCAGTTAGTTTTACGATGTATGAAAATATTGCAAATGTGCTTTAAATGTCAGCCAGGAACGACGCAAAACAACATATTCGCCATAAACTACGGGTTTGCTTTGCTGACGCATTTGCAAGTTTACCCACGTTGTAGCTAAATGCACACACAACAAGTACGGTGCAGAATCTGGATCCTCGCTTTGAGAATCACCATGATCGGCATGTCCTGCCCCTTTGGCTGGCCGTTTCACACACCGTCGGCCGGGTGTGGGGCACATGCTGGGGTGCCTTTGCATTCGGTGCGAGGTTTTTTTTTTCACCCTTCAGGCCAACACATCCTGTCAGGATGTATGACAGCAAGACGATGCGCTAAGGTGCTTGCTGGGGGTGTTCCAGGTTCTGGCCAGCGTGCTGTCAGGGGAGGCTATCTGCCGCACGCAATTTATGAACGATTGAAATGTCTCGGAATCAGCGTGGCGAAAGTTTCTGAGGTTCTTTCCTTGTTTATCCTCGTGGTTTACAGGACTGCTGAGCCAGCGTGTGGTCATCCTCCCTCATTTGGAGGTTTCCCAAATGATGGTCATCCAAGTCATTCGACCATTTTAGTATTGAAACAGATTGAAACCAATGGTGACTTGGGGATTCCTCATTTTCAGAAAGTCCCAAATTACCATATTCACAGATATTCATGGATGGCTTTCCCACAGTCTCAACGCATCGATAAGTGTTAGCATGGGATACAAAATGGTATATAAATGAATAAATGATTATAAATGTATATAAAATTCAGTGGCTATAGGAAATGAAGGGCCTATAGGGATGGGCGCTGATTGACATCAATCTTTGGTTGGAATTGACTGACTGACGACTCAAAGCCAGAATGACTGAGCTCAGTCAATCCCTGAGGCTTGGATGGCCGGTCCCATGATATGTTGGTGTTTTTTCACCATGGCACGTGGTTGAAAAACTCTGCATCTTTCCGGAGGGTGTTCCGGAGGGGCCAAATGGAAAATTCATGAAAATTCCAAGTTTCAATGGATGGATCCAGTAATATCTGGTGCAAAATACCTTTCATTGAACCAATTGAACGAGCGCCGGTGATTGGCAGTGTGTTTTTGTTCGCCCATCAAAACATCTGAAATCAACGTGCCCCTGTCGCAAGGAGTCAAGTCAAGAACTTTCTCGCCCATGTGTGTCACATGGAAATGTACCTCCAAGGCCCTAGCAGGCGTGGAAGTCCAAAGGATTCCTAGTTTGACGCTTTGCAATGGGAAAAATGACGATAAACCATACGCAGGAATACGGGGAAACCCATTTTTTGAGGCAACCCCTTTTGGCGATTGTGACTGGGACCCATAAGTACGTATTGTTGACTCTCTTCCATTGGGATCAAAAAACATTACCTCAGCTATACCAAGCCTTCGTAGACCTGCAAGTGCTGTTTTGAAAATGTTGGATTTCTTGTGGGAGAGATCCCTTCCAACCAGGAATTGGACATGTTTTTTCCTTTTTCTGCAATATCAAACAGCCATCAGCCCCTTTTTCCAAGCCTGGCGCAACCTTGGTTTTTACTGATGGAGTGTTGAATCGCCTGCTGATGGCTACCTACGGACGCTTAGAGACCAAAAAGGGATCAAGATATTGTATATCAAAATGCCACGTTGGTAAAATATGTTTTTTGGATTTCAATGTTGGATGGTATTGGATCATTTTGGTGATCTGTTTTGGTTGTGCTTTTGCGGGCGATGTGCTTGTGAAGAACTCTTTGTCACCTCCCAGGCCTGATTTGGCTTGGGGAACTTTACCCCGTGGTGAAGATGTTTGCATGTATGAACATATCTTGGCGTTTTCAGAATGAGTTTTTCATTTTGGGAGGGCAATGGAAATTGAAGGCTTTTCATGTTTTTTCTCAGTTTTCATAACGGAATCAAAATTAAGGCATGGGTTTGTCCGAAAGTACAATGATAATATATATATATACATACAGTGTTTATATATATATATGTATATCATATATATATATATGGCGGGTAGCTTCCATAGCACGCCTTGCAGGTCCGGAGGAGGTGCCCGCTTTGAAGAGGCCGGCTACGCCGTCTCCGCCTTGCAGGCGCCCTACATTGGTTTTGGGGGGGCTATCAGAATATAGATTTACACTAATATGTATGGATATATGGATCTAGATATAGATAATCGTCCACATAACTAATATATATATATATATATACTAGTACATATATATATAGATAGATAGAGATATAGATATAGATATAGATATATTTATACATAAATGTATAGACATATGTATGTATGTATGTAATGTTATGTTATGTTATGTTATGTTTTGTTTTGTTATGTTATGTTATGTTATGTAATGTATGTATGTATGTATACATATATATAATTATGAAGCGATTTCGATGCACCACAGCGTGATACCGCACTAACATGTTATATTAAGTTCAGGGTCTCATGGCCCTGAAGAATCCTGAAGCCAACTGAGGAGCATTCATGGCCGAGTTTGGTTCGAAAGGTTGGTCATCCAGATTTGGGATATCCAATTTTGAAATAGCCATAGCTATTGGGGTGAATTGTGGTGTCCAAATCTGCTGGGACTGGCACTGCGCACAAAAAATTGCAGGGCATCTCACCTCATTCAGCTGAGGGATCTCTACCAAGCGATTCAGTTTGTTCACCCATTATTCACTCCAAGTCACAGCGTGTTCAGGCAGGTCTTCAATTCTTCATGGAAGAAGAGAGGCTGGGTCATGGTGATCAACCAGAGACGTGGATCTAGGAGCCCTCTTTCTACGTGCATGCATACATACGCACATAGGTAAGAGTAATGTTTATGTTTTGATACCTATCACAAATATAATCAAATATACATAATTATATATATACATATGTGTATATATACATTACGCATTACACATACATAAATTCCAGTGTCACATTGAGCGACTTCATACCCTTGGCCACATGCGTTTCTTCCCGTTCATGTCAAGAAGTGAATTATCTGCGAATCCCGGGGATTTTCCGTGTGAACGCTGAGTGAACGCCGCCCAGATGAAGTGATGATGGTAGTTTGAGTAGGAGGTTGGGGCCATGTTCAACCAATCAAATATGGACGGAGGTTCCTGATATTCACTAGAGTCACTAAATGTGTGTTTCATATTTTTTTTGGCGAGCAAGCCTTTGGGGTTGTGAGCGCTCAGGATTAGAAACAGTGGGATTGTCTGAAAATTAGCTACCTCTAAATCTAATCAAATCTATTGCTTAATCATCCTGTTCCCCCTAAAAGATGACCACTTGATGGTATACCGCTATACCCAATTTTCAGACAGGCCCCGTTGTTTTGGAGGATACAGTGATCAGTCAATAGCCCAAGGAGCACACCTCTTAGACAATGAGGGTACCATTTCCCAATATCCAAAAGATCCAAAAGGATCCAAGATCTTTGCATTTCGTTTAGCAAACCCATGCGTGGTCAACTGCATCAACCACCTTTATCATGTTCATCCCTCATTTCGGAGATTTTTTGGCTTCCAGCCAGCCGGCACTGCGACGCAAACTTCATAGATCCACAAAAAAAAAGCCTGGTTTCGAAGCGCTGACGTAACAAGAGGAAGGGGATACCCTCTGGTTATTTAACATAGCCATGGAAAATCACCATTTTTAATAGATAAACCATCTATAAATGGGGCATTTTCCATGGCTATGTTAAATAAGCAGAGGGTATTCTTCCCTTACCAAGCAAGTACCAAAAAAAACAATCCAGATCAATCCAGCAATGTCGCAAGTTGATAAATAAGATTAAATAAGGCAATCTCGTAGTTCACCTTCGGATACTCAATCTTCAATTCCGTAGCAGTTAATTTTCTAATTACACCCTATTGGCGCCGTGGCCTAAGCATGGCTCATTTTCCCATATCTAAAAGGTCGTCAATCCATTCATACGGATTGAGCCTATGGATTCCCATGATGGGATGGATGACCATGCCTGAATGATATGATGTTAGATCCCAAGTAGATCCCAATTATCTAGAAAATTATACTGGTATCATTGAAATCATTGAAATCATGAATCATAACTGGTATCCCAATGATCTCCCCATGTTTTAGTTAAGTTTTATACCCTCCCAGTTAACACCCTGCAGGCCAGTGGCCCCCACTGGACCCAGTGTAGCTTGGCAGCCAGACCCTTTGTGCAGGTCATAGTTGTTGTGCAAAAAGTATGATATAACAGGTATTTTTACATATGTACATTATATGTGTATATCTATGTGTATATCTACGTGTATATCTATGTGTATATCTACGTGTATATCTATGTGTATATCTACGTGTATATCTATGTGTATATCTATGTGTATATCTATGTGTATATCTATGTCTATATGTCTACATGCATATACATCTACACATACATTCACCATCATACACCATTGCGTATCAGTTTCCTTTTTGTTTGTCTCTCCATCACAACTTGTGCAACCACCCTGGCTCGCGATGCCTTGGGTTTGTCTGGTTTTTCCTGTCAAAATTGCCATTTTGGGGTTTACCAACCATTTTCAGACCACCCAATGGCAAGAAGAGTATTCTCCAGATGTACATGAGCCATAATTTGGTCTACCCTCATGACCAAGGTTCACAACTGCGATAAATTACCAGATGGTGGTAGAAGGTTTACGCACTTTTGAGTGACCCATCATTACGTGAGATATGGATCAACAGTATTCATCACAAGTGGGCAAGAAACCTATGCAGCAAGAACGTGTTGAAAGGTTATATACATGCACTGATCTCCCGAAACAACATGTGCAATGTAGCAATCTCTATGTATGCACAGATACAATATACACATATATGGGTATGGATCAATACCTATTAATACCATTTTTAGTGGGATGAACATCCATTTACCAGCTATTTTGATGTTCACCATGGGTATAAGGTTTTGACACACTGCCATATATATATATGTACATATATGTACATCTGTATTCATTCATTTTGTATTCATTGATCTAGCAGGGAAAATACGGTGTGTTTGGGCTTGGGGCCACATCGAGCCATGAGGTCTTCTCTTGTCTCGGCTCCCAAGGCAGATGGGCGAGTTCTGACTCCGAATCACATGAATGGAGAAAAAGATGAATTCTTGGTATTTTATGGATTATTTATGGATTGTTTATGGATTTTTATGGATTGTTTATGGATTGTTTCTTGGTATTTTGAGGCTCCCAGGCTCTAGGTAGTTGGATTTCAAATTGAAGGGTTGAACAGAGATACTTTCAGATCTCACTTTGTCACACTGGGTGGCAGCATGCCTTGTGATGCTGCAGCCTTGGGTCAATTCTTGTTGGCGTCGTTGCAATCGGCCCATTACTTTGCTCATGGTCTCTACATTGGTGCCCAATTGTACGACATCTTGCCCAAAATACTAAGAGGCAAGCTTCTGGTACTCGTAAACACTGCATAGTTTGGGAAAAATCGACATAGAAATAGGCAAGGCAACACTCACAGCTGCCCTTAAACTCACTGAATCTAGACCCATCTCGCAGGTCCGGAGGAGGCGGCCCGTGGGACTGGCGGACAGGGAACAGCGGTGATGCGGTGATGGGGACGTTGCTACTGATGTTGGGAATGTTGGGAAGCTGATATGGGGGGTTCCATAAATGGGGGTACCCAAAAGTGAATGGTTTATAATGGAAAATAATGGAAAATCCTATTGAGTTGGATGATTTAGGGATATCCTCATTTATGGAAACCTCCATATCAGTGATATCCCATGAAGAACATGAAGTATAAATATAGATGTGTAACTCTATGTTTCCTCAAGAATCCAGGGATAATTCATTCATTATTGAATGACATTTAATGTATAATGAGTATAATGCATGGAAAACCGCGATGATGATGATGATGATGATGATGCTGATGCTGATGCTGCTGCTGCTGGTGGTGGCGGCGGCGGCGGCGGTGGTCGTTCTTGTTTGTCCTCGTCTTTGGCATGTTTTTTTGTGTTTGTGTTTGGTTTTTTATTTCTTATCGTAAGCTGGTGTTCTTGCTTCTTTCCTGTTGGTCGTTTATTCATGGTTTTTGATGTTTTCTCCTTTTCTTGTGTTCCCTTATTTTCAATTGCGCTGCTGGTGGTAGTTTGATGAAGTGGCAGTTGAGGGTGTCCATAGAGCAGTTTCATTTTTTTGGTGTGCCATTCATCCGAAAACTGCTCCACACCAAGAACGCTGGGCATATGGGTAGGAAATGGGCTTAAATGATCTTTAATGTACATACCGGTCCAACTACGAACTGATGTATGAAGATCATCCAAGTAGCATTGAATCTGGGTAAATTATAACGACCTCACTACGACCTCACTGGAAATCATGGTTAGTAAGGGGAACCATCCCCAAGATAGCCTTATTTCAGATTAGTGAATTATTATAATTTGCCCAGATTGAATTTGGTTATATTTGGTTGATGGGCCGTTGAAAATCATCCTGACAATCCCCGGCTGAACTGCTGCCGTTGGCAACGTTGGACCTGGATATGGGACTCATGGGACACATTTGACACCACGAATTCCAGTGACCCTCTGGTAACTTCACATAGCTATAGCTATTGAAAATCACCATTATCAATAGGTGAAGCATAATAAAACATCTACAAATGGCTCATTTTCCATAGCTATGTTATAAAATATCCTACAAAATGCCGAAAATCGGCTAGAAAATCCAACTATGAACTACTACTGTCCATAAACATACCTCCAAAATTAGCCAAAGATAATAATCCAACTATTTGCTGTAATATCAACTATAAATATCCCTGACATCCCTCCTCTCCAAACACAGCAAGGGACGTGTTTCGTCCTCTCAGGCATCCCACCTCCAGGTACAGAGCCGCGAAGTCGGGTCTGAAAATGGGGGAAAATGAATGAAAATCCATTGGTAATCAGTAATCCATTGGAAGTGGGAGTAGCCATGGGTAGCCCATGGGGGTAGCCGTTTTTTTCAGACAAACCCATGTCATAGTTATATATTTCATGGCTGCAACTGAAGAAACTTCATCTTTTGAGCCTTTTTCACTACTCATGAGCCAAGGTCAGTCAAGTTCATCGACAAGTTTGGAGATCAATTATATATATATATATCGCATTGTTTGCAGGATATTAAAAACTGTGCCATCGCATGGGAAAACATGCATCGACCAGACTGATTTCATGTCAAAACCAGGGTCAGTTTTGGTCATGTTTGAGCAACCATGCTTTTCACGCCATGTTTGTGTACCCAGCAAAAAGAAACATATAATTGGAGACTCAACCCCAATGATCTTCGAAATATCAAAAAAAAAATTGGATTTTGGCATCTGCCATTTCAGTCATTGCCGAACCGCGGTCCCGCTTGGTCAGGGTTTGGTGCGCTCTGCTCGAGCTCAGGAGCGAGACTCGGAGTTGGCAAAAATGGCGATAGAAGCGAGTTGGTGATGGGGCTAAAAACGTCCTCTAGAATCTGGGGTAAACATGGTTAATTGATGTTAATTGGATGTAACCCATGTTGAATTGAAATTGGAAGAGAATAATAAGTATTTTTGGGCATCATGGGAGTACAACCAACAATATGACATATGGAGTCATGTGGATGTGCCTCGAAATTTTCGGGATGTGCCTCCATTTTTTGGCCATGTTCATCCGGTGGCCATTTTTTCTTCCAAACCATTGGAGCTTGGGGGTGAAAAACATGTTGAGAAAACCTCGAATTTACCCGGCCTGGTAAACTGACAGTTTGCTATTGAAAATGGTGATTTTCCATAGCAAAATGTCAGTTTACCCTCTGGTTATCTAACATAGCCATGGAAAGATCCACCATTTTTAATAGGCAAACCATCTATAAATGGGCCATTTTCCATGGCTATGTTAAATCACCAGAGGGTACCAGATGGTATTATGTCTATCATCTTCCAATGAAATTGATGGTCATTGCCCTGTGCGAATCATGGCAGTGGAATTTTCAAGCAGCTTGTAGACAACATTCCAAAACGCAAATGCCTTGGGGGCTAGAATCCCACAGTTTCAAACAGACACATATCATCACATATCATCCATTTATATCCATTTATATCATGATATATGATGATATACCACAGTTTCAATGGTATATCACATTTATGATGAATCATCACATATCATCACACATCATTTCAGAGTTTGCTACAGGATAAACATCCCTCCCTACGATAGTCGACGGTTGAGTCCCTATGCGGCTGTGGCGGTTTCGACATTCTTCGTGGAGTTCAATATCAGCCAGTATGCATCAAGATAAGTATCCAAGCACTATCCTTCAAAGCTTGATTTATTTGATTTGCACATTTCAACCATCTTCGCAAATCTCAATAGAACAGTACTGTAATGTACTGTACATTTTTTCTCCTGCAACGTGACGCGCTATTCTGTGTGACCGGAGCTTCCCTGCAATGGAATGGTTCCGCCGTGCCCCTCAAACCTGGTGAACGTTAGATTCGTTAGGGGTAAGCCAAGCCGATTGGCAGATGTCTGGAAAATTGTTGCCAGAAATGTTATCTAAATTCTAGAGAATACCAAGCAAAATTGTGTTGTTTCTTTGGTTTGTTTCTTTGGTCGTAAGTCGAAGATTGGCCTGCCAGGCAGCCCGTTGACGACGCGCCCAGACTGCGGGAATACAAAGAGAGCACCAGGGGCAGTGTGGAACGTTGGTCACGTGTTTGGATTTCATGGGAATGTCACCAGCAAAAGTGAAGATGTTTAATCCCAAAAACATGAATCGTTCGCAAACAAACATGGGATATTTCACGGGATGCCCTGAAGCGGCTAGTAATACATGACAGATTCTCAGTCGGGTTCTGGCATGGTAAACCGGCTAACCTGGTTAGCACCTGGGCTCCTTAGAGGAAACTCCAGATGAATTTGGACAGATTTGATGCGGCATCACCATCAACGATGGGTATGCTGAGGGATTTCACATCAAACCTGACTTTAGATTATAAGTGAATAAAATATAACCATAGGTATACCATACTATACCCCGGTTATGGGTTATAAACTACGAAGTGGGATGCACATCCAAGATGACCTTCGCCCGTTCTGTATTCTTTCCAGCCTGCAGCGAGAAGATCCCTTAGCAGTCATCGTCTAGGTCAGAGGATTGTCGATGGCTTTATGCATGGACGCTTATTGGACTATCTAAATTGTATATATATACACACATACGTATGTATGTATATATATACACGTATGTATGTATGTTATGTAATGTAATGTAATGTAATGTAATGTAATATATGTATGTATATACGTACGTATATACATATATGGCATATAATTGGTTATGAGTAGGGTTGTATCCGCTTCCGACTTGAAATAGGACAGGTGAACGCCAAGTCAGCGCCTACTTGACTGACAACAGGGGCCCCATTTCAGTGGGATTTGCCTGCGGGTCTGGTGGAGCCATTGGAAACTGCGATGGCTTCCCATGATGCAGGTACGACAAGGATGGGTCAGGTGAAGCCAGGTGCCAATGAATTTTTGCAGATCGCCAGTTTTTTGACCTGGGACGGTCATGTAGAACTGCACTGGACTGTTTCAAAGGGCACATGATGGTTAAATCCTTCAAGCCTCAAGCTACTTATTGATGCGGTAAGCCAATCATAAACCCCAATCATTTGTACACATACAAGTAGTACCCGGGCAATCGGCAGCGGAAGTTTCAGACCCTATGGGGATTATATGTGAAAAACGCAGCAGACCAGATGTTCAACTTAGTTGAGACACAACAGTTGGCGACGAAAAACATCTCAGCAGTGCTTAGTGAATTTTGCCACTCAAATATGTTCCCTAAGCATCACTAAGCAATTTTCAAGGAAAAAAGGTCTGAATTTGCACGCAACAAACTAGTCTCAACTAGTGTTGAGGATTTAAAACATCAAACAACATCAAACAACAAAAATGATGATAGGTTGATTGATGGATTTTTTTTTGATCAAAAAAAGTGGGTCAGCTGTTGACACCAGGTGAGAGCTGAGCAAGCTGAGCGCCAAAGGCTGAAGGACCTGATGTCTGTGGTGGTACCATCACCATCGCCAAGTCACCATGGCACCATGGGCTTTGCATAGTCATGGGGGCTACCCCCAGCTCGCTGGATGGTTTATTTCCATGGGAAAATACCATTTGAAAGTGGAGGATTTGGTCACCATGGTTGGGAACCAATAGTAAAATGCTCGAATGACTTGGAGAATTTGGGGTACCACTTTAGGCAACCTCCACATGGAGCAGCTGATTTTGATTCGAGTACGTTTTAGACCGTACCTTCGGTATCCAACCTATGCAATGCCACACTGGAAGGTATCAGTGCTTGGATTTCGGAGGCGTAGGGGACTCTGCATCCAACATATCCAAAACTTTTGAATTGTCAATAGTTTGGACGATTAAAACAGGCAACAACGCCCAAGTTAGAATTTAGCTAACACCAGAACTGCCATTCTCATCAGCCAAAATGATTCACCTATTGGAGTGCAGATGAGTCATTGGGGTTTGCAGCGAGGTAAGCCTGGGTGAATGGGCACGTGATGGCACGTGATTTTCTGGACCATTTCCATAATTTTCAACTGAAAAATGGGGGGGTTCATAGTCATAGGGGTACCCCCAAATGGATTGTTTATTTCATGGAAAATATCATTAAAATGGAGGATTTGGGGGCTGTTTCAGGAAACTTCCATATATCCAACATTTGATGAATTGTGAGCGTTCAGATCATGACCAGTTGATTATATCTTAGAATATCTATTTATACATGTGTATATATATATATATATTATATGTGTGTATGTATATATATATATATTGGTCCTAGCCACATGTCTCACCCTTCACCGCTCACAGGACCCGGTGGAATGGGGCCGGAGGCGGCAGCAAAGCATCAAAGAAGCAGAGGCCCCTCGCGGGGCACCCAGGGGTCCCCATCATAGATCGGTCCGTTTTTGGGAAAAAAAGGCGATAAATCCAAGAAGAATGAGAGATCATTGGGGAAATTAGGGGATAATCTATGGTTTAATCTATGTTTTCCATTGTTTAATTACCTAAATATTCCCCATTCATAGGATATGTTTAGGAAAATATGGATAATGATGGAATACACTGGATGACTAGGGGATATTAGGGGATAACTAGAATTGACAGACCCATCCCTGGGCTGAAAAAGGCATTGGGTATACCCCTGTAGAGATGACAGACCCCCAAGAGTTGGGTCTGAAAATTAGGACGAAATTAGGACATTTACCATTTACCAACCCCTGTTTAAAATGCATATGTTCTAAAAGCAAAAGCACTAGTTGCTACTACCCTCTGGTAATTTAACATAGCTATTGAAAATCACCATGTTTAATGGGAAAATCCACTATAAATGGCCATTTTCAATAGCTTTTTGTATGTTTACCAGAGGGTAGTTCAATTGACTCCAATGCGGTTTCCTCATCGATTCGACACCGGCTCAATCCAGGAAGAAGACATCTAGGTCCCCAGGTTCGTCCAAAAATTTTTGGTTGTCCAAAATGGCAGTTCTTAAAATCTGATAAGTCATTGGATTTTAATACCATTTGTTGGACAATCCCACTATGACTAATGACAGTGGAACTTGAACTTGTACGCAACACAATCTAATATCGTGTACATGCCCCTATCTTTGGCATGTTTACACGCAAAATTTTGTATGTTATCTCCCTATGTGTCAATAGTAGCCCCATCTATTTCCCGGTATTTTCCATGATATCAAATAGATGGAACATGGAAAATACTGGGAAATACTGGGAAATCGTTGAGCCATAGATAAACACAGCTTCCCATAAATTGAGCCATGAAAAAGAAGCAAAGTGTTGATGGGTTGACATCCCAGTCCTCGGAGCAGTGATTTCTGCAAAGAAGAAGAGCTAAGTGTTTAAGTTGAGGTTCCAAAAATGAATGACATGTAATATGAATATGTTTGATTATATGTTTAGATACATATGTATCCATGTAGGTATCCTTATAATATATATAGATATATATACACAGTCATGTTTGACGGATATATCACTACCGTGCTACAAGCTACCTAGAACTGCAGCTGAGCAGTAGCCTCATTGAGTGAAGGTACAGCGATCCTTTAACACACCTTCCGCGAGTACCGGTGGTGCCACATATCCAACACAACATAACTATATAATGTCTTTGTGTATGTGTATCCGTATATTTTGTATAACTTATGTATATTGTATGTATATATATATATACATATATATATATATATACATATATATTATACAAATATATGTGTGATGCACATATAATACAGTGTATATATACATATGTGCATACATAGTATGTAATCTATCTATACATTGAGTTTGGAACAATTTTCCCGGGGACCATCCGATCATCCCGTCCCAATCTGGACGCTCGACAGGTGCTTCGTGCCGAAGGGCGTTTCGGTCACCTCACCACAGAGCACACGTTTCGTCCCGCGCGGGGGCCCGGTGCGGATGCTGCGGTTGCTGCGGATGGTGCAGGCCCCACGAATCGGATCCGTGGTTTATAATCCATATGTAACCCATTTTCCCATAGACAAGTAGGGACAGTCCATAAAAAATTGAATGGGTTTTGACCTATTACGTGGGATGCACAGTTTCTAGGCGCAATGAGTGGAAATCAAGCTTGGTTGCCTGGGAAATCCAAATCCAACCTTTCTTGTGTTGGCGATGTTTATATGCAGTTGCTGCCTCTTGCAAAAAGCACACAGGTATTTCTACGAAGGCACAGTATCCAGCGTCGAACAAGCTTTGATATGTTCAATGGCTTTGTCTTACAATAGATAACTGGTTGGTGGTTTGGAACTTTTTTTCCCCAAATATATTGGGGATAATCATCCCAACTGACCAATATTTTTCAGATGGGTTGAAACCACCAACCCGATAAATATGATACCCCAAAGCCCAGTCTGGTCGATCATCATCCCATTTTTGGACTACCCTCTGGTAAACTAACGTAACCATGGAAAATCACCATGTTTAATGGGAAATTTCACTATTTCTATGGCCATTTTCAATAGCTATGTTAAATTACCAGAGGGTAAGCCCAAATATCAGCGAGCAAGTCTTGCTATGTGATCCGTAAAATATCCTTGTAACATGTTGGCGTTGTCTCCATCATTGTAACATGTTGGCTGAATCCCAATGTTTTGCTCGAAGCCACCTCATATCAAGCGAGTTACGTATCCACAAAATATTATGGAGATATCCATGATATTCCTGTCACTTCTCCATAAACTGTTGTTGTTTTTTCATATGCTCAATTCCATCTATACCGCAGCAAACTATCAAAGTACCGGCGGCCAGTTTAGTAACGAGAGGAGCCAGGTGTAGTTCTTCTCAGTTCAAAACCAGTCATGGATTATTGTCCATCATTAACCATGGTTAATCATTATTGGCCATTATTAGCCATTATTAATCACTATTAACCCAGTCATAAACCAGTTCAAGGATCATATAGACAGTGGGGATATTCCAATTTTGTAGTAAGTACATCTCACTATTTTTTTCACCGAAAAGTCCCGAGGCAGTGCCACGCGGCAATCGCGGCAACCGCGGCAACCGATGCGACCGGTCGCCAGGTGCGGGGATTGGTGAAGTGCTATATCGATTTTTAGGTCTGCATAGATACCCTTTGGTAAACCAACATAGCTATAGAAAATTGTCTGTTTATAGTTGATTTACCTATTGAAAATAGTGATGTTCCATAGTCATGTTAGGTTACTAGCCCTAGAAGTCTAAGGTACGTATTTTTAAGGTCTTAGCCATGTCCGTAGAAGTGGCCATAAAAGGTACGTGTACTTTTAAGGTCTTAGGCACCTAAAAGTACGATGGGAACAGCTCCGATAATGCTCCGTTTAAGGTCTTAGGCACCTAAAAGTACGATGGGGAATGCCTACCTAAAAGGGCCCTGGAACCCATCCAAACGCCAACATGTGCTGTGATGATGTGGTGGATTATGCTGCTTCCGGCGCACAAAATGAACCTATAGAGAAACTGCAGCATGTTATGAATTTTGAAATCGTAAGTTTTCGTGAGTTGGACCCATAAGGTACGAGTATAGACCCATGAGGTACGCTAAGACGGGTGAGTTTTAGTGAGTAGGACCCAATAAGGTACAAGTAAAGACCCATGAGGTACGCTAAGACCCGTAAGGTACGAAGAAAATCGTGAGTTTTCCTGAGTTTTCGTGAGTAGGACCCATAAGGATCATAAGGTACGAGTAAAGACCCACGAGGTACGCTAAGACCCGTAAGGTACAAAGAAAATCGTGAGTTTTCGTGAGTTTTCGTGCGTAGGACCCATAAGGTACGAGTAAAGACCCACGAGGTACGCTAAGACCCGTAAGGTACGAAGAAAATCGTGAGTTTTCGTGAGTTTTCGTGAGTAGGAACCATAAGGTATACGAGTAAAGACCCATGAGATACGCTAAGTAGGCTAAGACCCGTAAGGTACGAAGAAAATCGTGAGTTTTCGTGAGTTTTCGTGAGTATAAGGTACGAGTAAAGACCCACGAGGCACGCTAAGACCCGTAAGGTATAAAGAATATCGTGAGTAATCGTGAGCGTTTTTTTCAGTGCATCTGAATTTGATCTTTCAGCAAAGTGATTGACCAAAACGCTCCTGGATTTTTCCTGGTCCAATGGTTGAATTCGCAAGCCAGGGATCCTAACAGTGAGCCTGAGATTTGTTCAAATACAAGAAATTGAGTGGTGCTCCCTGATATTGCTCATGTCATCTATGCGAACCTTATATATATATATAATAGCCCTCGGCCGTAGAACACCCGGCATTTCTACAACTTCCTCGGCCGTAGAAACCCTCGACATTTCCATAATCCCTTTTAGTACCACTCTGTAGGTGGCCCTTCCTTTTAAAGTCCCAGGACTTTCAGGGTAGTGTAAAGTGATGCAAACTGGTCCAATGCAAGGTAATGTATATAATGTTTGCAACGTACGTAGTGTATGTAACGCAATCAAAGGAAACATGATGTCAATGAAACAGAACGGGACATAACTTCACGTCTTCACGTGATACGCAATGCCATGCGATGCAATGTATTGCAAGGCAATGTAATGTGTTGCAATGCAATGTAATGTCAGGCCATGCAAAGTTATATGTGTAACGTAAGGTACTGACATGTCATGCAAAGCAATACAATGTCATGTGATGTCATGTAATACGCTGTACTTTGATCTTATGCAATGTGGCGGAATGCAAATGTCATGTAAACCTCATTTACATGTCATGTAAATGTAATGTCATGTAAATAAAATGTAAATGCAATGTAAGGCAAGGCAATAGCCTTCCAGTGATCATGGCGGCGAGGAAAGGTGTTATTTCCCAGAAGTGTTTTCTGTGTTTCTTGGGCGAATTTCAAAAGCCGCAATGAGATGTAAACAACGTCTATGCAGCTGCTGAGTCATAATCCCATGCATTTTGGTTGATTTTGTGGTGGTGTAGCAGTGGCTTTTACCGAACTGCCTATATATTTCGACACCCAGTTGACAGATGTTCATACAAATAGTTTTAGCTCCTTCTAGGATGATTGTAGATGTACAAAGATATGTTGTATATGTGATAGCCAGTCATCTACCGCCAGGTGGCCTTTCTCCCCGGCCAAACGTGACTTGGAAACTGAGTTTTGGGGTTAAGATTTACTTAGGAAGGGACCCGGAGATTTTGATGATTTGTTGAATGATTTTGGCCAGTTTAGATCCCTCATCACGACGGAAGCCGCCATAAGAATACGAGATATGATGTATCGTTCCATCATTTTCCAACCATCAAGAAAGATCGGGAAAAAAAAAACATATGAAGATCATAGAAGGCATACTTTTTGTTCAAACAGGCATCATTCATCATTCTTCATTTAGTCAGCTTTGAAGCAAGAGTGGCCTAAAACATCATAAAACCGCATGTTTTGATAGTTCGCCTGCGTTTTAAGGGGGTCTTGCCGGCTGGAAAGAAAGTGTCATGGTCACCTCGGTCACCGGTATCATTGGCGTAAATACGCCACAAAACCTGAATAAGGCCTTCACATGTGTTTTGCTCCCCTACTTCTCTGGGGGAGCATTGAGGGAAGTTTCGCCAGGATAAGACTTCATGCGAGCCCATGTGTTGTGGATGCTCATTTCTAGTTCAGTCGATTTTGAGTCAATTCTCATGAGAAATTCCCAGATGATGCATTGTGGGTCAGTCATAATACATGAAAATCAGCATGGAAACCAGCTGCTGTTTGGTGTTTTTTTCCTGCAGCTTTTGGACGTTGATAAAAGCAAAAAGTACAGAGAAAGCATCCCAAAATCACCTAAGATTTCAGGTCGCTGAGTTAGTGAGTTGCTGTAATGCGGAATTGATATTGATAGCATTTGATATCGGGCTGTTTTTCCCGCCAAGGTGAGCTGCTCCATTGTTCGTGGTTTGCCGGTGTCGGAGCCACTGGTCTGGCGGCAGTTGCCCTCAGCGAGTGGGGATCCTCTGAAGAGGATCTTGAGTGATCTGATGGGAGGAATTCGCCAGAAGCAGAAGGAATTGTGGATTGCTGTACCAAAAACATCCAAAAACAAGGCATGTACCGAAAAAAACATGGATTTCACAGGGATTTCAGAACCAAAGACGGTGTTTGGACCCTGAATTGATGGGTGAACCGTTGGTTAACCACCATGGGGAGAGACTGAAGGGAGCTGCGGCTGAATTGTTGGTGTCCTAAGTCATGGCGGTACCCCTGTTCATCATCCTTTTTTGGTGGATTTACCATCATAAACCATCCATTTTGATAGCAAACCCCCAATTATTTAGGAGAATGGATGGAGCTGCTACAGATTTGGTGATCTGCTACACTTATATCGGAAGGTCAGTTACATGACATTGGATGTTGAACGCCATAAATTGGTGGTCCACAAGGTCGTACCATGTCATACCGATATCACCGTAGAAAAAATCCAAATAAACAAACAAACAAATGAATAGTATTATTTCAAAAATTTGTATAATCTTATATATCTATACTTGTTATATAAGTATACTATGTATATATACATACATACACAGCTATATACATATATATATAATGTTATATACATATATGTGTATATAGTCATATATATGTATATAGTGATATTTATATATCCCATGATAGCCCCATATCCCATGGTTTTTCTACCCGGCATTAGGCCTTGCTGCAAAGGCCATGTCTCTCCTTGAGGCGCCGAAATCCGAAAGCCCTGGATGTTGGAAGTTGGTCAAATCCAATCCTAGATGATATGGTAAAACATAGGAAAACCATAGGAAAATGGAGGTTTAGCCTCCGGTAATTTAACATAGCTATTGAAAATTGCCATAGAAATAGTTGATTTACACATGAAGAATGGTGATTTACCATAGTTATGTAAACGTTTACCAGAGGGTAGATCCATGTTTTTCGAAGTTATTATAGGATCTTATTTTGAATCCTAGATTGATAAAGTATGATGAAATGATGTTCTTCTATATCTTTTGGAAGCTTACTAGATATTTTTCACGATCCATAGTAATGATAGGAATCCCTAGATTCCGAACAGCTGATGGGTTGACCAAGTTGTCCAAAATTCATATGAATGTTGCTCATATGTTGTTCATCTGGGGCGTCAAAACCTATGAAATTATATGAAATTGCCATATTTTGAGGAGTCAGATTCTCAGATTTTGAGGAATAAGAATCCATTAACCACCTACCCTCTGGTAAACGTTTACATAACTGTGGAAAATCAACTATTTCAATGACCATTTTCAATCCATTAACCACCTATGACTTTGGATACCATCCGGAGGAAACCCCAGATTTTGACCCTCTGGGGCACCTCTGAAGGTGCCTCCCCAGCCCGACCAGCCGTCTCTCGAGGTGTGGGTGATTTGAAAAGTCCTTGGTGTCTTCAGGATGACTGCTATTTAACCTATTATATATATAGTGTATATATATATAGTGTATATATATATGTATAGTATATATATAGTCTATTATATACATATATATACATGTGTATATATATATATACATATGTGTATATATATACATATGTGTATATATAGTATATATATATTGTATGTATATATATATATACATACTATATATATATAGTATATACTGCATATATATATATATACAACGTGGGGCCCCCAAGCGATAGCAAAGTTATACAAAGTTGGTGCAAATAATTATGATTCTAGAGTGTATGGTAGATATATAGTATTCATGGGTGTCATCAGCCAACTTATCAGTAAGGAGTAAGGGGCCCGACCTTGTAGTTATTTCATGGAAATGTCATCATCAGGGTGGTTACCTATCCAGAATATGTGGATGTAGTTGATAAACGCTGGTTGATTGATTGTAGATCATTAAAAAAAAGTGAAAAAAGTAACCTACCCTTTTCAAGATATTTCACAGAGATAATCATCGTACAACTGGGAATCCCGTTGCTTCAACCTTGGTGAGACGGAGGGAAATCCTGACACTCTGGATTTGATGAATGTTTCACTGGGAGCCTTGACTGGTTCCGTCTAACAATTGCTGTAGGACTTGTTTTTTGTTACCTTCGAAAAATCATTGATGGAAGAATATCTAGGCTAATTGATTGTGTTCGCCGAAGATGGTGGATGGAATTCATATGGGTCAAGTCATTTTCTTGCAGGAAATGGGATGGTTCGCAGAACTGACCAGCCAGTCAGTTTGTGAGCTCTAGATCCATCTCCATTTCTTTGTTTTACTAAGTGATAACGTATCACATATATTTTAAAGTACGGATCAAAAAAAATGATCAGCCAGTTTCAAACCGATGATGTTCATGATATTTGGGCATCAAAAACCACCTTTTACAGAACCCTCCTGTTTTTGGCACTCGAAAAGATTGGGGCTGCATTTGTGGGATGATTTCTGATGACCCAAACGCCCTGCAGGTTGGCCCGATGCAATGGCTACTTGTCTTCGGAGCTTGAGAAAAGAGAAGAGTTCTTAGCATGTGAAACCATGTGTTTTTTTCATGTTAACATCGTTAAAAATCGTTAAACCATATGTTAGAAGAATGTTGTTTTTACGTGCAAAGAAAGTTTTTGAAAAAGTCTGGGTATGGTTGAAATGGATGATGAGTCCATCAGCCGACAGAGAAACATCTTGGGGCAACAAACAGCACTGGCGTCTCTTTCGAGCTATCTCCAGTTTGTCGTATCATGGATCCCAACACCGAGATATGCATATATATAGTATGTAATTGTATGTATACTCATGTGTGTGTGCATATGTACAGATATACTTATATATGTATATATATACATATACATATAAATGTAAACTTACATACTGTACATTCATACATACATACATACCTACCTACCTACCTACATACATACATAATATACAGACATACAGACATACAGACATACAGACATACAGACATACAGACATACATCCATACATGCATACATGCATACATGCATGCATACGTGCATACGTGCATACGTGCATACGTGCATACATATGTTACATATGTTACATATGTTACATATGTTACATATGTTACATATGTTACATATGTTACTTATGTTACATATGTTACATATGTTACATATGTTACATATGTTACATGTGTTACATGTGTTACATATGTTACATATGTTACATATGTTACATATGTTACATATGTTACATACACCTGTTACATACATATGTTACATACATATGTTACATACATATGTTACATACATATGTTACATACATACATGCATGCATACATACATACATGCATGCATGCATACATGCATACATACATACATGCATGCATGCATACATGCATACATACATGCATGCATGCATACATGCATACATGCATACATGCATGCATACATACATATTTATGTATATATCAACATATATATAGCATTCACAATGGATCCCAATTCAGGGATCCTTTTCGCGCTCGACTCTTCAGGCATCCAGAACATGTGCCAGAACTCGAGCCCATGGAGGTGGCTGTGGCCCAGGCGGCTTCGCGTTGCTAGGCCCATCAAAAGATGTTTTTTAATGTATTAATGATGCTATAATTATCAATATATAAAATATACATATTAATATATTATAGACATGTTTTTTCCATTTATGTATATATATCCACAAAGAAAAACCACTGGAGAATATGTGTCGTAACTGTCAAGTCATGCTAGTTTGTCATCCCTGGTCACTGGTCGAGGATCACCCGAGGAAGCACATAGAGGAGCAGGTCTGGAGCACGGTTAGAACCAGCGAATTCGGTGGCATCGTTGGCCTTTACAATGACTGTTTAGGGCCACATGTTTTGTGAGGTTGTGTGGCCAGTTTGGCAGAATATTTGGACAGCGAAGTTTTTATGTTGAAACCATAGACAGGACCCTAGGCAAAACGTTTACATAGATGTCAAGCACCCATGGTTTTAGGATCGGAAAATTATCTACAAATGATGGTTTTTGCACATCTATGCTAGTTTACAGGAGGGTATATTACAATATATTAGACACATATGTGCAACACATTGTACACCTCAGAAAGCTTGCATGTAATTCGAAGAATGCTTTTGTCGGCAATCAAAACATGGTTTCAAGTTTAGTTGTGTTTCCATGTGAGATTCCGCCCACATGATGCATGATGATAGAATACTTTCAAATGTCCTCAAGTTATTTTTGTACATAAATACTTCCAGAAAATGTGATGTCTAGAACGTAATTGAACAGCAAGTATGAACAACACATTGTTGTAACAATGATCTTTTTTTTAATGTGTTCACTTTCCGGAAATTGCGCTAAAAAAAAAGATCTATTTGTACAACAGGTGATCGTGACAAGTTTCAGCAATCTCCAGGAAGATCAAGAGATGACAAGCGGCGCAGATGCTCCGTCGCCAAGGCGTTTCGGCCTTGGGCCTGGTGAGAGATGGTCACTAAAAATCAGTGGGAAAGATGATGATAAAGCCATGGTAATTTAGCAGTTTGCTATGGACAATGATGGAAATTCACTGATTTTTGAGTTTTCGAAAAATCATTGAACTAAATGGGCATGTTCCATAGCCATGTGAAATTATTGGAGGCTACACTATTTTCAGACAAAGCCATAAGTTGTTGTGATGCTGATACGTTCCATCTTGGGTGCCCTTGAACAAGGCACAGTTTTGGCAAATCTGCCAAAGTCTACAGAACGTGCTTGTGGGTCGAATAGGATCCAAACAAGATCTTGCACAGGAGTTTTCGGGGTTTCTTGGTTCGTCGTTTCCTAGCCGTCCCATTTTTGGGCACACTATTTTGTTCCATACCAAATGTCTACATGTTGATACTAGTTCACATCCTGGTTTTCAGGGGACTATGAATCTATTGCGTCCTCAGTCCTGAGCTTTTCCCTGGAGAAACCTACGTTCACCCGGGTGAAGCGTGACTGAAAACGACTAAAGCAATTTATGTTTTTTTGAAGCAGTTGAAACACGGAAGTTTGGTTAAACTCCAAAGTTGTGGTTAAAGAATGTTACAGCTTAAAAAAACATTAAAGAACAGCAACTGTTGGCAAAATCATCCCATATCATCCCCAATACGTGGATGGACAGCGGGATGTACAGCACATGTTTCATGGTTACGTCATCTTAAGTCTTAATCCGACATCCACTGATTTCCTCCACTCGGCCCTTGGGATTGCAGGCTCCCAGCGCGCTTCTCCTGGAATGAGTGGGTTGGGGGCCACGGTGTTGGGCGGTAAAAAACCACTCATGGCGTTTTTTGTTTGTTGAAACTGGAAAATCGACTTCAGCACCTGATAGCCTAAGGCCAGACAAAAATCCACGAAACAATAATTAGGGGGGCGCCGAAAACTTTGGCAGGCTCCTGAAGCGGAGGATCTCTTCTCTCCAGTTGAGTCGTCGTTTTGCTCAGTGCTTGGTGAAGAATGTATGGGGATGTCATATGAGCCATGAGCAAAATTACCTGGTTGATTGGTTAATCAGCAGTTATACTAGCTGATTTATTGGAATCACATGATATCATGGGTCGTTTTTCTCTGAATGGTGTATGTCCCAGAAATGCTGGGATCACAGAAAATTCTTGTCATGGGATGCAAGAAACCGTCAGACTTTATCGTTTGCTGAGTCCCTGATTTCACTGCAAGACCATTCTGATGATAAAAATCACGCAAAATCGAAGTCTGGCTTGCTATGATCTCCATTTTGCTGAAGTCTCCAAGTCAAGCCGAAGCAAATCCGCATGTTTTTTCTGGATTTTCTCAGCTGTGAAGTGCTCAAAAAAGTTGGGCGCATCCGCGGCTTCTCCTCGAGGTGGGAACAGGATGGACGTGGCTCCGATGATCCGATGAGTCGCGAAATGAGCATCGTTGATATGCTGTCCCTCATGGATACCCTCTGGTAATTTAACGTAACTATGGAAAATCACCATTTATAGTGATTTTGTCCATGAAAAATGGTGATTTTCCATAGTTATGTTAGTTTACCAGAGGGTATTCATGGATATACCATCCGGAGATATCATAGTTCAGAGTATGTGAAATGCCGTATCACTTTCATAGCATGATCTCACATGATTTTCTCTCATACGTTTCTACTTTTCTCAGTCTTTTTTTTTAAGTCCAAGATATCCTGTGTATTTCTGTGCACCATCAGATATCCATTATATCCTCCTGGACTTACCACAGGATATCCTGGACTTATATCAATTATATCAACTTTACATATCCATTATATCAATACCCTCTGGTAATTTAACATAGCTATTGAAAATGACCATTTATAGTGGATTTTCCCATTAAAAATTGTGATTTTCCATAGTTATGTTAGTTTACCAGAGGGTAACTAAACAGCCTCGACCCCCAGGTTTTGAAGTCTGACTTGTAGGCCCAAGAAGATGTCCAACAGATTTTGCTGGAGTTTTTTCAAGGCCAGTCTTGAAACATGCCATTTTACCCAAGTGACCCACCTGAAAAAAACTATATCAATTATATCAACTTTACATATCCATTATATCAATATCAAAAATGTAACATACCCTGCCTGCCATACAAAAGATATGGAAAACCCACCATTTGTGGATCATTTTTCTAGGGATTTTTGTTGTGGATTTTCCACATTTAAGTGCTGGTTTTTTGCGAAAAAAAGGTCCCATTTTGCTCGATAAAATGAACGACAATGCTATTATGCTGGATGTTCGATCAGTGCTAAAATATCGAAAAATCCCATGGATGTCCCATTAAATCTGCCAAGAAATGCTGCGAAACATTCGGCAAAATCTCAGTCAGGTGATGGTAGATCACTTTGATCCCAATCTGCTGCGTTTCGATTTGCTGCGAAGGGTCGCACAAAGTCAGGTGCCACGGGGGAACATGTGGATTTTGATGGGGGCTTGAGCCATAAATCATTTTGATTTCGGCTAACCTCACTGTTGGGTTCATTGTAAATGGCAGGATCAGCATGATGTACGGTAGCCAAACAATGATGAGCAAATAACTGACAACTGACTAACTACAGAGTACATATGTGTATAAATATAAATATATCTATATATTCAAATATGGAACGTTTGACCGACAAATAGGGAGATATCAATTGATGGAAGACATTCTAAGCAACAAGACTCCGGAAATAGGGGAAGAATAGCTTATAAGAATATTCCATGGACATTCAATGGCCATTTGTGTTTGTCAAGACCACCATTAGGTTACTCTATAAATCCCATGAGAAAAGCCGTTGTTTTTCCCATTTTTACCCTGCCCATTTTATGGTGGGCCGTCCCGGAACCCAAGGGCCAAAGCAAAGGATGAAATGCCCCAAGTTGATAGCGTTCAGTTGAAATATGGCTGTGGCGAAAAAACTATGGTTTTTATAGTAGATGTAACCATGATATGACCACTATAACCATGATATGATATAACTATGATATAACCAACTTATAACTACCAACAAAAACTATGGTTTTCATGTTTTTTACCAACAAACATAACTGGGGGGGCTCCTGTATCATGTCCTGTATAACTGGGCGCCATGGCCGAGAATGGCGTGCAAGCTCACATTCCGAGATGTTTCATGAAGTTTTTGGATAGCATGCTGTTCAGGCTTCCCGGTCAGAGGTGAGTAAACAATTACAAAGAATGTGCAAGAGATTGGAAATGAAAACGTATCTCATGAAAAATAATCGAGTTTGAAAGACATCCATGGCATGCGGCATGAGGAATAATGCACTTTACAAAAGGAGTGCTGGATGTCTTGCAGGAGTTCCATTGCTTAAAGGAAGTAGTGTGCCATTCTAAGAAAGGTTATCTATATATATATACATGTTTGGAAAAGATCTTCGGTAAATCGGAACTTCTGCTGGAGACAAACAGGGCTCTTCACATAAAGGCATTCTACATGTTTAGAGAGGAATGGTTTGCTGTACTTTGTGAAGAGAATATTGCCGCTTTGGCAGAAGCATTGTCCCTTGAGAAAAATGTCTCTTTCAAGGAGTGCTACACTGTTGGCAAGGGATTCGGCACCCTGCATCTTGCAACAATATAAATGATATGATATTATATTATATTTGTATTTTGCATGAAGGCGGCTTACGGAGAAAGTGTGAGAAGGAACCCGTACAAGCCGTCTCTTGCAAAGAAAACTACAGTTATCTAACAAAATACTGCATGGTTTGAAAAGGGTTATAGTATCTTTGACACGACAAGTTCTCCATAATGCCTTATTGACAAGAAGACAGTTCATTTCACAACACGGGAGTGATGCATCCTATTGTCTAGTTTTACAATGACATTTCTCACAGACTCTATTACCTTAAGGTCATTAACACTTAGGTTTACAGGGAATAGCATTTGTTGAATGTAACATGTTTCGGTTAAAGATGCCGTTTGCTTCTTAACATTAGTTTACATGTGTTTAAGGTACTGTACTTTTTTGAGGACACCAAGCATCTTGGGAAGGCATTGTGCGTATGTGCAGTGAACTTTGGAAGGCGACGGTTCTTCATGGTTTTCAGGGAATGCTACATCTTTTGAATACTTAAAAAAGTAACACTGCATCATAGAAAACTGGCACTGCTTGTTGGGAGTGCGGTGCCTCCTGGAGTATTTCAAAAAAAAAATGGTGGAGTCAGAAGTCTGGAGCGGGAGTTGTTCGTATTTGCTGCTCAGCCCCTGTTCTGCCTGAGATAGTCTCGATTCTTCCCCGTCGTCGGCAGTAAAGGTGAATAGGGGGTGAACACTAAAAGTATTGCATGATTCTGGTGTTGACTGGTGGTGACTGGTGGATTTGGGAACCAACACTAAATCTAATTCTGAGGTCATATTTTTCCTTAAACCAATCCATTGACTTTAGCCCATGAAACGATGAGTTCAAACCCAAAGCAAGGCACAAAGACAGACACGTCCGAGTTGGTTCTCGCGCTGCGCAGAAGAACTGCAGCTCTGGTTCCTTGGTGCCCAGAGCTGGCGGCTTGGTAGGGTTAGTTCACCCGGTAGATGGGAAGAATTTCTAGGAATCGGGGACTTGCTGACCAGTTTTTTGATGATTGATATAGGGATAATATGGGATAATTTATGGGATAATTAGATATGAATCGGATATCTAACCAAGAATATGATGTAGATGGTTGTGTCTGAAAATGGGTATACCCCCCAAGATGGTCAGTTTTGGAGGAAAAAATTGGGAAGAAATCGCCACAATGGCCCAGTGGATTTAGAGCTTCAATGGGATCATGGCCAAAGTCAATGGATGGTGAAAACCACCTGGCATGGTCTAGCTAAACTTTGGAGGGGTGATCTTGATACGGTGACCTTGTGCCATAATCCTGCTATATATATATACATGCATTTATATATATATGCACATGTGTGTGTGTGCTCACCGTAGTGCTGGATCCACAATAATAGACCATCCATTATCAGATGAACGTTCTGGGGCTATTCGAAATCATCCCGAATTCGGGCATTCACAGCAATAAGCCACAGATGATGTTTTATTGTGCGTCCCACGTGAATAGGGATAGAATGTGGATAGCGTAGGATACCAGTAGTCCCGGCCGAAACATTGAAATTCTGTAAGAAATAAACGGCCCATAGACATTGACATGTCGGTTAGATGCCGAAGCAATGAAATGTTGAGGTTGTGAGGTACATCAACGAATAAGCAAATGGCTGTTGAGATGCCAATGGAATGACATGAAAGAATAAATGCACGATTGACATGAATGAATGAAATGACATGGCATGAAATGAAATGTAACAGAACGGAACGAATGAACGAACGAACGAATGAGTCAATCAATCAACCAATTAAGCAATGTGCCAATGAATCAATGAGTGGTTTTAGAGATGAACTAACCAAAAAAGCCATTAATGAAGGATTCAATGAATGCAGCGAGAGCATGAATCAATGAATGACTTGAATCAGCGAATGAATCAATGAAGGAGTGAACCAATGAAAGAACGAACGCATGAGCGAACGAATGAATGGGTGAGATGCTTCTTTGTTGAGCTACTTCTTCTCTGAGCTGCTTCCTATCTGGGTTAACTCTTCTCTTTCCCGCTTCTGCTTTGAATTGCCTCCCTCTCTCAGCCACCTCTTCTGTAGCTTCTGCGACCCAATTCACCACACTGGACTACCTTTCGCACAGCTGTTACAATCCCAACCTCCAGCTGCAAGGCCGCATAGCAGGAGCATCTAAAGACATGTTTGATGAATCGAGCTCTCGCTACAGTCTCGCGCACTTTTTTCCGACAAGATCATGGGCATCAAGGAATCAACCGCTCACGAATCAGGATGTTGATAGCCTGAGCGTTTTAACACAGCTTCACAGTTGCGCCCCAGCCATGGGCTCAACACCAATTGAGTTGAGCTTCTCAGCTGTCGTCCTGACTTCATGGCTTGT